ATAAACAATCTAATGTATCTATCATTATTCTTGAACGACCATCCGTTTGTATTCGATTTGATGCACTGTAACCGCGTTCACATTCAGCTGAATTTGTCGGAGAGATTAGATACACGTTTAACAATAATAGAATATTTTTATAATCTAGATCAAATGTGCTATTTATTGTCCGTTGTAATTCGACAAATGACTTCCAAAATACCTTCTTCAAATGTTTGTTACCATCAATATCCATAAAGCGTAATAATAATGGCTTAAGTGATTCCCATTCATTCTTGATGCTATTGATATTGAAATCGTCTAGCTGTTCATATTTTTTTCTTAGGTAATCTAATTCTGATCGGCCATAGTTTGGCACATGTAATTGTTGTTGATTTTTAAACAAATAAACAGGATCAAAGAGAGTAGCAAAGCTCTGATGTAGATAGGAAGGTGGAAAACGATGTTCTAATTCTTCTATAAATCTTTTAACATGCAAGCAACATTGTTTTTCGAGATTCTGGCGATTTGATGTGTCCAGAGTGAATGCACCAAACGAATTATCTTCAGTGAGTTTGATATATTCGGCTAATGATGGTCCCCACGAATAAATTTGTTGTTGAGGTGATGATACTTTCATTTCTTCTTGCTGCTGTAGTAAAGGTAATGGTGATATCCACTCGTTCAGAATTTGTTTTTTTTCATTAATCTTTTCTGTCAACATTGCATATGATATTTCATCTTTTTGCATAAGTTTTACAAGTTCACCTCAAGGCATAGATAACTGGTTATAGTTAGAGAAGACTAGATCAGTTTCCACCTACCTGATACACATTCGTGTAGATCGTAATGAAAATGTAGAAGATATAAAAATGAATCATCTAACACTCCATTAAAAAGTTCAGTTACACTTTCACGCTCCTTTAATGTCAATCCAGGATCACGTGACATTTGTTGTAGTGTGACTAACAGTGCTTGTTGTCCTTAAACATCACACGAATGCTACTAAATGTGTGTTATGGAAAGATCGAGAATTACATTTACCTAGGCATGCACCAATACAATATATTGGGTCCCAATAATATTGGTCACCCAATCTATTGGAACCAATAATATTGGTCACCCAATCTATTGGAACCAATAATATTGGTCACCCAATCTATTGGAAC